CACTTCGCTCGCACACTGCACGCCAGCGCATCGTGCCAAGACTTCCAAGCGAAGCGCAGCGAGCTTCAAGTCGTGTATATATATATATATATATATGTATGTATACACACACGTGTGTATGTATGGATCCCTTGCCTGCCATATGTAGTCGGCGCGGCCCTTCACCAGGGAAAGAGTGAGGAACGGAGAAAGAAACGGCAAGGGAGGCAGGCAAGAGGAAGGGGGGATTATTGAGGGCGAAGTAAATTTAGCAGGAGGGATGGAGTGCCATAATCTTGGCATGCGGACTTTGACGGGCGGGTCGGGCGGGCCGGCCTCGCCAGACGGGCCAGGCGGGCGGACCCTCTTGGGCGGGTCGGGCGGCGAGGCATCAAAGCAGGCGGGCGGTGTTCCAAGCATGTGAATGGGCAGACCCTAGTTGTCGGGTTGGGCGGGCGAACCTTAGCAATCGGGCCGAGCGGGACGTCGAAGCGGGCGCGCGGGTTTCCAAGCAGGCAAACGGGCGGGACTTTACGGGCGGGTCGGACGGGGAGATCCTCACAGGTGGGTCGCGGGGGCGGGACCTAACGGTCGGGTTGGGCGGGCAGGGCATTGAAGCGAATTCCGTAAATCGCAAAAAGTTTCAGGCGAGAACACGATTCCTGAATGGATTGCAGGGAAAACTCGGCGAAAGCGCGATTCTGGGGCGTCGAGAGCGCAGCGCCGTCGCACACTGCGAGAAAGGCCAAAGCCAGAGCGCGATTCCTGAGTAAATTGTGAGGAAGTCCTACGCGAGAGCGCGATTTGAATGGTTTTCGAGGAAGTATCAGGCGCGAATCGCTGTTGTTGTAAATCAGAGGCTAACACACAGTTTGATTTGGAAGATTTCCATTGACCAAAAACACGGTGCCAGCCCCACGGGGGCATCCCAATGGAAAAGTAGACACCGGAAGGGGTCAACAACAACATGATAAGTACATGGACAGCCACGACGACATGAACAGCAACCACGCATGCGAAATTGGCAGAGGTCTTCGACGACGAATTCTCATGTCTCAGTAACAACTATTGCATGCTAAAGCATAGCAGCTCTGCGAACGACATGTACAATTTCAATCACAAACACCAGCAATCATGTTCAGTCTGGTCGCTATTTTATCTGATCGCGTGCTAGTCAACACATACCCGCCCTCTTCGCCTGTGATCGTACCCCCTTTGAGTGTATACCTTCCTCTCCTGCCACGTGTAGTTGGCGCAGCCCCTAAAATAAGGGAGGAGAGGGAGGGTAAAATGAAGGGACAAGGGGTAGGGAGAAGGATGGAACACGAGAGAGACAAGCAAGAGGGGGGTCAGGAGCAGAAGACAACTGGCAGAACCAGACGGGCGGCTCAGGCGAGTGGACCCTAACGGGCGAGGGTGGCCGGGTCGAGCGGGCGGGTCGCTGAAGCGTCAATCTTGCATGAAGCGCGAGGAAGTCCCGCGCGGCAGCGCGATTCTCAAATAGATCGTGAGGAAATCCGGGGCGAGAGCGTGAGTCTTGAGTGCCGCGGGCTCGGCGTATGAATAAACCGCAAGGAAAGCCCACGCGAGAGCGCGATGTTCGCATAAATTGTAAAGAGGTCCCGCGCGAGAGCGCGCTTTAAAACAAAAGCGCGAGGAATAATCAAGCGAAAGCCGTTGTTGTTGTGGTTCCGGGGCCAGCAACTCAGTTTGAGGCCCACGATATTTTATATGTTCAAAACAGGCTGCGAGCCCCGCGTGGGGCACTTTGTATATTTTTGTTTATGGGCATTGGAGGGGCGGGTCAACAACAATTGCCCTGTAGGAATGGGAATTGAAAGCAACGATGGAAACAGTACGAGCACCGGCAAGAAGATCGACCTTAGCAATAACGGTAATGATACCGACAGCACAAACAAATGCATGAACATATGATTAGCAAATTCTGACATCAGCATAACCGTGTGTAAACAAGAGCTTCAGCTGCATTGACGCAATGACGACAGCAACAACAACAACAACAATTACTAGCACGTGGGGACACTCCGTTCTCACCAGTGCCAGGGTTTTCATAGGAGGCGGGCAATACCCCCACTTTGTGGGGGGGCCGGTTCAAGCTCTACCAAATTTCCAAACGACTCTTCGCCACCACCCACACCCAGCTTCCCGCCCTATGACGTTCGGACACTTCACTTCGTGGCATGCGGACGACCGTGGCTACTATTCAGGGCCCCGCGGCCGACGACGACGGCGTGCGCGCGCGAAGAAAAAACGAATGTGTCCCGCATGGTATTATTTGACAGGGATGATGGCCCTGGCAGGTGCGCAACCGTTGTTGCAGAAGTTCGAAAAAGTTGCTCGCAAAAGCCCGTTTGACAGAAATGTTTAAAAAGTGTTGGGTTTCCTACGAATCCGCAAGAGCGCGCGGGATGAAATTTTGACATTTTTTTTTGAAAAACCATTGGTTTTTTGATGTTTTTATGTTAAAATCGCTACGAAAACTAAGGTTTTGGAAGGATTTCGTCTTGCGCGCGCGAATGTCCACTTTACCTTATTTTTTGCAAGGGATTCTTGAAAGTTTGATTATGTTAGAACAAGAAATGTCATTTTATAGTGTTTTTTGCAAGGGAAAGCGGCAACAAAACAACCGGATCTGGTACACATCGTTTTGCCTGAGGCTTCCTCACGAAAATGATGAAAATGTGGCTGCGGCCTAGGCGCGGCGGGGGGGGCGTGCACCAGGGGGCCCAACAATAATTATTCTTTAGAAGTAATAATATTCAACAATTACTAGCACGTGGGGACACTCCGTTCTCACCAGTGCCAGGGTTTTCATAGGAGGCGGGCAATACCCCCACTTTGTGGGGGGGCCGGTTCAAGCTCTACCAAATTTCCAAACGACTCTTCGCCACCACCCACACCCAGCTTCCCGCCCTATGACGTTCGGACACTTCACTTCGTGGCATGCGGACGACCGTGGCTACTATTCAGGGCCCCGCGGCCGACGACGACGGCGTGCGCGCGCGAAGAAAAAACGAATGTGTCCCGCATGGTATTATTTGACAGGGATGATGGCCCTGGCAGGTGCGCAACCGTTGTTGCAGAAGTTCGAAAAAGTTGCTCGCAAAAGCCCGTTTGACAGAAATGTTTAAAAAGTGTTGGGTTTCCTACGAATCCGCAAGAGCGCGCGGGATGAAATTTTGACGTTTTTTTTTGAAAAAACCATTGGCTTTTTGATGTTTTTATGTTAAAATCGCTACGAACACTAAGGTTTTGGAAGGATTTCGTCTTGCGCGCGCGAATGTCCACTTTACCTTATTTTTTGCAAGGGATTCTTGAAGTTTGGTTATATTAGAACAAGAAATGTCCACTTTGCTTTTTTTGGCAAGGGAAAACCGATCGTAACAACACAACCGGATCTGGTACACATCGTTTTGCTTGAGATTTCCTCACGAAAATTATGAAAATGAGGCTGCGGCCTAGGCGCGGCAAGGGGGCCATGCACCAGGGGCCCCAACAATAATTATTCTTAAGAAGAAATAATGTTCAACAACAACAACGATGATAGCAGTACAAGTCATATGTCATAGCACGGCACCCACACAAACAACAAGGACGATCCTTCGAAGCTCCTTAAAAGCTCCTGCGAGGCTCCCTTTCAAGAGCTTGCCAGCTCGCCAGGCATTCCTTCCAGGCGTCCTTGCAAGGGCCCCCCTGAAGCTGGCAACTGCGGACTTGGACTTGCACTTCTACTGCTTTGTTTTTCCCGGGTAGTTGTCTGACAGCTAAGAACGTTCAGATGAGAAGCCGGCAACTCAGGGTAGGCCAGTTTCTCTCCACGGTTGCCGGCAGGCATCTTCGAAGCAGTTTTTGTGACCAGCAGTTTCTCCCGAGAAGCGTAGTAACCACCTCACTACAATCAAGGCAATACAAAGAAGCACAATATAGCAATATTGGTAACAGCACGGCAATCTTCATGGTTAGGTAAGAACCCTCATGGTAAAGCAGATTTGGGGAACCATCTTATGTTTGTGCGCGCACAGAAGCAAAAAACGCAGGCTGCTTGGCGGCGCAGCCAGAGCCATCGACACTCCACCCGGGGGAGTCCCGGAGGATTCCAGAGGTCCACTCCAGAAGTCCCCGAGGTCCACCTCAGGGACCGAGAGGCCCAACGACGTTCCAAAAAAAATGTTCCCCCGATCTTCGCTCCGCGAAGCGGGGTAGCGCCGATGGCACGGCTGCGCGGCCGTGAGCCCAGACCACGGAGCGAGTGTTTCGACCCAGATCATGGGAATAACAACATCGTGATAGGCAGTTCCAGATTCAGGAGGACGCCATCTACGATGCCGGAAAGAAACGGGAAACGGCGGGGGGCAAGTCAGAAGGAAAAGACGGCCGCGGCAAGGGCAAAGGCAAAGGTTGAAATCGAGGAAAGCGCCAGAATTGTAAAAGTCACACGCTGTCAGGAACTTTTGAATATCGTGTCGCTCCGCTGGTTCTGGCGCCTACGGCACTTCGGCGCGACACGCTGTCCACTTCCTGGCCCCCAAGCGTCAACGCCCTGAGCTTTTCCGAGCCTTCCGCCCCGCGGAGCGAGGCAACACGCGATCCACTCGCAAGGCAGGACGTGTCGCCTGGGCGGCCAGGGCGACACGCCCTCCAAAAATTTACTGACCGTCCACCGGCGGAGATCTGGGATCCGTGCTGCGACACCAACCACCCGGGAGGCAGCCTCTGCGCCAGACCCCCCAGGCATTGGGGGCGGCAAAGAGGGGGGTGATGATTAGGGGGGGGTGGACATCATGGCGTGGGCCATGATATTTCCCCAGATTTCATGGCGCCTCTTCTTGTTTCATTACGTCCCTGACCCCACCCTGGGCCGCGCACATGCCGCCGGTCATGATTTGCGCCCCCCCCTCTTGGACGCCCCCCCCGAAGGCGTGCCGCCGGGCCCAGCCAGCTCGAATGTTGAGCCCCGCCGCCCCCGCTTTTCCCGCGCGGCCAGCGCCCGCTCGCGACGGATGACCGAGGCGATCTTTGGGAGCAGGCAGAGGAGGAGTACCAGAGGAAACCCCAGGTGTATCAACGATGCTAGAATTAAGTCGGGCGTGTCCTTCTACAGGTAGAATCTTCAAAAATAGTCCAAAAATAGCGCGGTGCTGCAATGCGCACGTCCGTGCCGATTCCATTCCTCATCAGCCCCTACAGGTGTGGAAGACGATCAAGGGAGAGGAGGCATATTGCCAAATAGTTTCCAGATGTCTAGAAGTTGTTGAAAGCACGTTTCTGAAGTGCTAGAACTTGTTTCAAACATGTTTCGAACATTGTTTGGACATGTAGAAGACATCAAAAGACATGTGTAGGTCAATGATAGAACGATTAGTGTGTCAATTGCCAAGGCATCCACACCCTTACAGAAAGTCCAGTTCACCGCGGCAAGTTCCACTTCTGCAAGACGAGCGCCCCAGGGTCCTGCAAATCAGGCGAGAGAGCTCCGTGTTGAGAAGGAGGTGCCGTCCATGCATTAAGCTTTAAAGACGGCGACGAGGCAGGACCCCTAAAGTCCAGGGAGGCGTCTGATGCAAAAGCTGAGACGTCTGATCAGAAGGATTGAGGAAATCTCAAAGAAAGTTTGTTTTGAGCAGTAGCTCCCTCCATCTGGGTTTTTGTGTTGCAAGATGCGAAGACGAATGCATGCGGCACTAAGGCGAGAGCCACACTTTGAAAACTAAACACTCTACGATATAGCTTTTGTATGGTTGGCAACTACTACGACGGATATTCACGGCGATCGGCGGGAGCTACATTTTGAAAACGATCCATACTCCACCCACATAAGTTTTGGAACCTTTAATGACGAATTTGTGCGCCGCGAATGCGAGAGCAACATTTTGAAAACAACCCCCTCCCCCCGTCCCTAGCTTCGGAGCCATAGACGTGATGGAAGTCTCAGGTGAATCGCCCAGCCCGCCCTACCAACACCTCTGGTGTTCATACGAGGAGGAGTTATCGAAGACGCCTGCGGCGAATCACCGCCGCCCCCTGCCTTTTTGGAAGCGCCTATGTGGCCGAACGTTGAGGCCAGACCTGCCAAGCTATCGAACCATGTGTTCCCCGAATCGGTTTGGAAAGCCTTCGGGGAACACGTGGGCATCTTGAAGGTCATCTTGGCCGCCTGGAGGCCATTTTGACCATCTCAGGCCTTCCTGGAGGACGTCTTAGAGGGCTCTTGGGCCGTCTTGGAGGCCATCTTGAGCGTCCTGGAGGCCTCTTGGGCCGTCTTGGTGGCCTCTTGGGGCCGTCTTGGGCCTCGTGGGCGATCTTTGGGGGCACTTGGGCTGTCTCGGGCCGTCGGAAGGCCGAAAAAAAGCAAATGCCGCAATCCTTCAAACACTCAGGGGAAATCAATGATTTTGGCCTTTTCGGGCCTTCCTGGAGGCCCTCTTGGAGGCCTCTTGGGCCGTCTTGGGCCATCTTAGTGCCATCTTCGGCCATCTTGGTGGGCCCCTGGCCCGTCCAACGCCGTCGGAAGCCGTTGGGGGGGCCTCTCTGAACTGACTTGGGGGTCCTCTTGGGGCGCCTCGGGGCCGTCATGGGGCCATCTTGGAGGCCTCGTGGGCGATCTTGGGGCGATCGTGGGGGCCTCTTGGGCCGTCTTGAGCAGCCGGAAGGCCGAAAAGAAGCAACTGCCCAAATCCTTCAAAAACTTTTTTTTTTAATCAATAATTTGGGCCTCTTCGGGCCCTCCTGGAGGACCTCTTGGAGGCCTCTTGGGGTCCTCTTGGGCCGTCTTGGGCCATCTTGAGGCCATCTGAGGCCGTCTTGGGTGCATCTTGGGCCGTCTTGGAGGTATCTTGGGGCCTTCTTAGCCGTCTTGGAGGCCATCTTGGGCCGTCTTGGAGCCGTCTGGAGCAGGAAAAACCCTTTGGAGCCGTGTCTGGGCAATCCTTCCGGGACCCCGGCGGGACGCGCCGGAGCCCCAGGGGGAGTTCTTTTTTTGGGAAAAGAACCGAAGCCAAAACCGAAAGGGTCTAGCACGCCAGGCACCCTTGCGATGAATCGACAGGGAGCGGCGGATACTAGTGGCTTTCGGTCCAGCCCGCCACCGTGCCAGTGGCCTGTTGGATGCTTGTTGGGGTCTCTTGGGAAGCCTCTGGGGAGTCTCTTGGAGGCAATGTTGAAGCCTACTGGGGCCGTTTGGGTGCCTCTTGGGGTTTCTTCCAGGCCCCTTGGCGGCACCTTGGGACTTCTTGGGGCTCTCTCGGGGGCTTGCTGGCGATCTCGGGTGCCCCCTATTTACGGGCGGAGGACACCAAATCTCAGCTCGAGTTCCCCAGCTTGGGGCCCTTTGGGGGCCGTCTTGTGCGCCTCTTGTGCTGTCTCGGGGTCCTCTTGAGCCGTCTTGGGGCGATCCTGGAGAGTCTTGGACGCTGTGATCGCCCAAGATGCGAACGTGTTGAAATATGTGTGTATATAAATATATATACACACACACATCCCAAAGGAGTGTGGCGATTTGTGTCGTTTTGTTGCTGCTCTCGTCTTGTGGGCCCCTTGGGCCGTCTTAGGGCCACAATGGGCCGTCTTGCAGCTGTCTCGGACCGCTCTGGGGCCCTCTTTGGCCATCCGAGGCAGTTCTTGAGACGCTCTCGAGGGCTCGGGAAGTCGTCTCAGGCCGGCCAAGGAGCTCCTGGGAGTCCCCAGTTCAAGAGTTCCCGGGAGCTTCCGCAAATCCCAGGAAAGGCTTGGAAATTGGGGGCCTGGTCTTTTAGAACCTTACAACCCATGAGCCTCTCAGGGCTGCAGGGCTGCATGAGCCTGGGGGGATTCCACCACGTGCTGAAGGCACGGCGGCGAATTTACATGGAAAGGTGATGGAGGAGAAGCCAGTGAGTTCGAGCGAAGGAGGAGGAGGAGGAGGAGGAGGAGGAGGAAGAGGAGGAGGAGGATGGCAGGGGGAAGGGGAGGGGAGGCCGAGAAGAGGGGAGGAGGAGGAGAGGGGAGGAGGATCAGGGAAATGTCGGACGAAGGAGGGTAGAAGGAGAAGGAGGGAATCTCTTTTCATTCTTCCTTGCGGAAGCAGTACAGTCCGCGTTCCTATTATCTATTCCTCCCCGCCTGAGACTAAACCCTACCTGGCGATAGTTGGCTTCTAAGAGGGACAGGGGGATGGGAGAAAATGTGTGTATACGTTCACAAACATGAATGTAAATGTAATTATGATCTGTGTGTATAAATATGCAAGATTGCAGTGGCGGCTCGAGCCATGCAGCTTGACCCCTCAAGCCTTGAATATGCTGGCATTTTGCGCCACCCTCTTTGGCCTTTGAACTTTGGCCGTTTCCCGTCCAGTCCCATCGCCCGTTCCTATGTTCCCTTGCCCTCGCTTTACAGATCCGTGCGCCGCCCGACTTTTTCTTGGGGTGCGTTTTGATTCGAATTTCGGGGTGGACCCGATCACGTGGCGCGAGAACGCCACCTGGAGGCTCCGAAAGAACGTCGGACCAGAATCGCGCGCCTTCTTCGCGCGCGTTCCTGCGCCGGCTGGTGTCGTAACGGCCTGCGCGTTGATTTTGACACCGCTTAGATCGTTCAGCCGTTAACGATCGTGCATTCCCGTTCAACGCCGTCCGAGTCCTGACCGTTGGCAGTGTCCATTCCGAACGCTAGCGTTTGGTCGCCGCCGCGTCGACACATCGCAAACCGACCGCTGTGGAGAGAAAACTGTTTCCGGGGGGTCGCTTGTTTACCCCAGGATATGTTTTTGAGGCCCCTCAGGTTGCAACGGCTCTTGCAGGCCGACGTCGAAACAAAACTCTCGAGGATTGCAGAAGCTTTGCGGCTTCCAGCGGCTCTCAATAGCAGAAAACCAACAAAAGTATGAGTCATTGCGCTGTCAAGCATCGCCGCGGAGTACCAAGTAATGCGATACGAAGTAATATGTGTTATCTTTGGGAATACACCGAATCCCGCCCTCGCCACGGATTTCAAGGCAATTTGGCTGCGAACACGGGACTCGGGTCAATTTGGTGAATTTCGGAGGATACGCTTTGTGGAAGACGCACGATTGTGCAAAGGAATGACGTTCGGGGTCCTTCGCGTGACCACCACACGTGGCTCAAGTCGCCAGGACGCGCAACGCAAGGCATTGGAAAGCAACGCCTCATCGTTCCTCATCGTACTTCTCGTTCATCCACGCTCTCGCGCGGCATTGCGAACCATTTCCCGTCTGCCGTGGTTTTTTTTGCGGAGGTTCCTCGCTAAAAACCGTTTGGGGGCCTCACGAACGCTTTTCAATGGCTTTGGGGATTTCTGGAGGCCTCTTGGGCCGTTTTGGGGGTCGTTTTGACGCCCGTGCGGGCCGTTTTGGGTCCATCTTGGGCCGTTTTGAGGCGTTTGGGAGGGAATTTGTGCCCTCTTGGGACCTCCAATAGCCTTCGTGGTTATTTTTGGGAGCTGTCGTTGGCCTCGTGAGTTTCTTGTGGCCAGTTTCGGAGCACTTGCGGAGTCTTCTTGGTACAGTTTGAAGCCCTCTTGGGTTTTTTTGGCCGCCCTGGGGCGATCTCGCAAGTTTCTTGGGCCGTCTCAAACGTTGCTGGGACACAAAAGCGCAGATGCTAAACAGATTCGTTTCCTTTCGGAATGGAGAATGGAGCGACGTTTGCCCCTTGGGGGCCTCCCCTATTGAGGGGTCTTTGGGTTTTTCGGGAGCTTCCTCAGCCGTCTGGATGCCGTTTTGCGCTGCCGTGGGGCTTTACTGGAAAACTACGGCCCCTTTGGGGGATCTCCCTGGCCCTCGTGGGTATTGTAGTGGCTTTCGATCAGTGCCGCCGATCCGGGTCGCTTGGGGTGCCCCCCAGACTGGGCGGCGGCACTTCGCCGACAGACACGCGCACACGCGCGCGCGCACACACATTCACACACACGCGCTCACACACACACACACACACACACACACACACACACACTACACACACACCACACTCACACACGCGCGCCACCTTTGCAGGCACATTCACACCGCACAAACACACACACACACACACACACACACCACACACACACACACACAACAGACACGCATTTCGACGCCAATTTCGTTTTCCCCCCATTTGTTCCCCGTTTTCCGCTCTTGTCCCCTTCAACGTCTCTCTTCCTCCTTCCCCGATTCCCTTCTCGCGTACACGGACAAACATTAATTACCCCACGCACACGCGCACACCCCCCTCCCCCCTCCTTCCCCAGTCGAGCCACCCCGGCAACCCCCCCAGAGGCTGAAGCTCAGCCTCGAGGCTGAAGCTAAGGCCCCTTCAAATTCACACGCCACGGAACCCCCCCTTCCCTTCCCCCACGCCACTGGAACTCCCCGCTCTTCCCCCAATCCATTTTGTCCACAGGCGGGACGGGGGACCGGACCACCCCCCCAACGCCACCGGAACCCACGCCACCGGAACCCCCTCCCCCCTCTCCCCGGACCCCGGCAGAGCCACCTTGGCCACCGGAACCCTCCCCCCCACGCTTCCCCCAATTCCCCTTGTCCACAGGCGGGACGGGGGACCGGCCCCCCCCCCGCCACCGGAACCCGCGCCACCGAAACCCCCCCCGTCCCCGTACTCTGGCAGAGCCACCCCGGTCACCCCTTACCCCTCAAACTCATACGCCAGATCGGCGGATTTCTTGGGGGTCTCGTAAACTTTTTCGGGGCCGTCTTGGGGCTGTTTTGGGGCTCTCTTGGCCCAGCTTGAAGCCCTCTTGGAGGCCTCTTGGGGCGATCTCGCAGATTTCTTGGGCGGTCTTGGAGTCCTGCTACGACACGAGGCGAAGATGCGAGTTAAAATGCATGTTTTCTTTAGGGGATGGAGCGATGTTTACTTCTTGGGGGCTCTCCTGAAAGCCTCTTGTCGCGTTTTTGGGGCCTCTTGGGCCGTCTTAAGGGTCTCTTGGGCCGTGTGGAGACCGTTTTGCGCTGATGTGGGGCTCTCCTACGCCTCTCCGACCACTTCTCTAATGGTTTTGAGCTTGCTGGCAATGCCCAGCAAGGCGCCCTGGGAGTCGCGGCAGGGCTGGGGGGCGTCTTTCAAGGACGTCCATGGAGCCTTGAGTTTTGGGGGGGGGGCGGGCGGTTTTTCCCGCCCCCTTGGCTTATTAAATTATAGCCAGAGTGCAGTATCCCCTAACAGGGTTTTTAGACCCAGTGCGGTTTCCAAGGTCGATCGCGTGCCCGTCCAGTGCAGACTAGCACGGCATGTTAGAACATGATTACATGATGTTTGCACATGAAATGTTTGCACGAAAATTTGTGTGACGCATACCTGTCAGGAAGCTACGCTAGAGGGTGTCGTACTCTCTCGCACCTGGTCGACGAGTACGCTGTCGGGTCGGCACTGTGAGAGGCTCCGCCGCCATGTTGTGAATTCGGAAACAACTGCAAGAGGAAGCGTCGGAGGGCGCGAAAGCGGGGGGGCATGTCGTGATGGTTCTCCCGGGGATGATATCGAGAGGTACGCGGCGCACGTCTCAATAGAAAAATCGTGACGTCGGATGTCTGGGGAAGGCGGAAGGCAGTGCGCGCATGACGGATGCTGAGGCGGCAGAAACGACGACGGCGGGGACGGGGAGGCGGAGGCAGAGGCGCAGCAGCGGGAGGCGGGAGGAGGGAGGAGGGAAGAGGAGCCAGGCGGGAAGTGGGAAGAGGGACGCGGGAGAAGGAATGAGAGAAGGAATGAGAGAGGTTGTGATTGGAGCCTTTGTGCTACGAAACGTCTCAGGCAGAACGGGCCAGACCATCTCGCGCGCAACATCTTCGAGCCTCGCATTGCGAGGATGGCTCAATCGAAACGGGCCGGACCACCTCGCGAGCGACATTTTGGAGTTCAGTATTGGAAGGATGTCTCAAACGAAACGGGCCGGACAACCTCTCGCACACGTTCTGACAAGTCCACGTCACATTCGCTTCCCGTTAGGTCCTCTCCTGCAAGTCCATTCCTTCTCCCTCCTCCTCCTCCTCCTCCTCCCCCTCCTCCTGCCTGCCCCCTCATCCACATCATCCGCCTCGTCCTTCTCCCTTCCATCTCCTTCTCCTTCTCCTCCTCCCCCTTTTCCTCCACCTCTTCATCCCGAACGGCATCTCCTTCATCCCGAACGGCATCTCGGAGCCTAGAGTTGCGAGGATGTCTCCAGCGTAACGGGCTGGACCACCTCGCGCGCGGCATCTCGGACCTCAGAGTTGCGACGATGTCTCGGGCGAAACGTGCTGCGAGGAAGTCTCAGGCGAAACGGGCCGGACCACCTCGAGCGCGACGTTTCAGAGCTCCGAGTTGCGGGGGCCTCCTGGGGCCTCCTGGGGACCTCCTGGGGTTTCCTCTTGAGCCTTCTGTGGCCTCCTGAATTCCGCCTGGGGCTTCCTGAAGCCTCTTGGGGCTCCCAGGGGGGATATCAAACCTGTGGCCGCTTGGGCCCCTCAAAATGGAGGGGGGGCACAAGAGCAGGAAAGATCAACGAATCGACACCGGATGTGTATTAACTTGACACGTTCTGATAGGGGGCCTCCTGGGGCCTTCTGGGAGCCTCCTGGGAATCTCCTGGGGACCCCTGGGGCCTGTCCTGGGCGTCCTGCGGCTTCCTGGCGCTCTCTGGGGCCTCCTGGGGCTCCCAGGGTCCAGGGAGGATATGTAACATGTGGTCTGCTGGGCCCCCAGGCTGGACCACCTCTTGCGCGGCATCTGGGAGCTCAGAGTTTCGAGAAAGTCTTGTGCGAAACAGGCCGGACCACCTTGCGCACGGCATCTCAGAGCTCAGAGTTGCGAGGATGTCTCCGGCGAGACGGGCCAGACCACCTCGCGCAGGGCATCTCAGAGCTCAGAAGTTCGAGGATGTCTTAGGCGAAACGGGCCGGACCACCTCTCGCGCGGCATCTCCGAGGTCAGAGTTTCGAGGATATCTCAGGCGAAACAGGCCGGACCACCTTGCGCACGGCATCTCAGAGCTCAGAGTTGCGAGGATGTCTCCGGCGAGACGGGCCAGACCACCTCGCGCAGGGCATCTCAGAGCTCAGAAGTTCGAGGATGTCTTAGGCGAAACGGGCCGGACCACCTCTCGCGCGGCATCTCCGAGGTCAGAGTTTCGAGGATATCTCAGGCGAAACGGGACGGACCACCTCGCGCAAGGCATCTCAGAGCTCAGAGTTTCGAGGATGTCTCAGGCGAAACGGCCCGGACCACCTCTCGCACGGCACCTCGGGGCTCAGAGTTTCGAGGATGTCTCAAGCGAAACGGCCTGGACCACCTCTCGCGCGGCGTCCCGGAGCGCAACTTTTCGAGGATGTCTCAGGCGAAACGGCCAATCCCGGCCAATTCAGAAACGAGACTTGTGAGGATGTCTCAAGCGAAACGGCCCAGACCATCAGATTCTTGTGAGGATGTCTCTGCTCCCCTTTCCCTCGGCCGGAGTTAGCTTCTATCACAACAGCACCCCGTTCAGCAAGCTGTTTGGGGAAATATAGGAAAAGAAATATCGAGGCGCAGGGTCGGAGCCTTCGGCCAGTTGCCTCGTGTCGCCATGGGTGCTCCAGGTTCCCGGGGCACCCTCACACCAGCGGCCTGAGAGCCGATTAGACAGCCGTAAGTGGCGACAAAGAGACACCAGAAGGCTTCGAGATGTCCAGCTTGGCTTCCGGAGAGCCCCAGATAGCTTCAAGGCCCGAGAGGATTCGACGAGCGCCCCCCAGAGGGCCCCGACAGGCAAAAAACAATGTTCTGCTTAGCTGTTTCAATGTTTTGGGGGTTCTCGACTTTCCCAGCTTCCGACGTCCACGACGTTCCAAGCGACTCCCAAGACCGCCCCAAGACGGCCCAAGATGGCTCGAAAACGGTTTCAGAGGCACCCAAGACGGCCCCAAGAGGGGTCCGAAAGCAGGAGCCCCAAGCGACAATTCGAGCGCCCGTCTTAGATGCCCCCAGACGGCCCAAGAGGCCTCGACGAGAGCTCCCCAGAGGGCACACAGAGGCCAAAGAAAGGAGTCTCAATGTTTTGAGGGGTCCCGGCGTTTCGAGCTTCCGGCGCTCCACGACGTCCTGAGAGGCAGAGCACTAAGATGGCCCCAAGACGGAGGAGGGGAAGCGGAGCGGGGGGGAGAGGAGGAAGACGGGGAGGCCAGTCAAGTGAGCCCTGAGGGGAGTCATGCTGCGCGGTTGCCCGCGGGCCGCGGAGGCGGGCCCGGCCCCTGCCCCCGGAGACGCGGACACCGCTGCGGCCGGCGCCGCGGCACGCGCCGCGCGCAAGCGTCGCCTGGAGGAGCCGCGGAGGCGTGCTTGTCTTCCCCTTTACACGTGTCGGCACTCTCACCCCGCAAAACCCCTAACACACACACAACACACAACACACAGACACAAACACACACACACACACACACACACACACACACACACACACACACACACACGCACACACACACACACATACGAACACACACGCACACACGCGCACACACACGCACACAGACACAGACACAGACACAGACACAGACACAGACACAGACCTAGACACACACACACACACACACACACGCACATACACACACCAAAAACACACGCACAAAATACACACACACACACACAAAAAAAAACACACGCACGCACGCACGCACGCACGCTCGCACGCACGCATACACACACAGGCACGCACACTAAACGCACAACGCACACACACAACACACAACACACAACACACAACATACAACACAACACAACACACACACACGCACACACACAGACACACACACAACACCCACCAAAACCCACAACAACAAAAACAAGCGCACACGCTTCCGCTGGCCGAGTGACGTCATCGCAGCGAGTGACAACATAGGGCACAGGGTACCGTGAGTACTCCCCTTCTCTTTCACACACACACACACACGTGCACTTGACAAGGTCATGAGACCCTCCTGATTGCAAGGTTCCTTGGAAGCATGTTCCGAGCCGCGTCTGCGTATATTCAGCGGACGTATTGCTTAGCTGTTTCTTAGGTTTCCGGGTGTCCTCGGAAGGACGAGCAAGGGTTGTTGATTCGAATGTTGGTTAGGGCAGCGCCATAGATTCCTTGGCGCGCCGCTCCATGGCGTTGGTGAGCCGCTTCCGGAGTAGTTGCAAAATTTCTGGAATGGGTTTTTGGAGAGTGGTCCGTGAGACCGAAAATTTGTATTGATAAGTGTTTTGTGGGGGGCTTGATGCTAGGCGTTGCTCGGTTGTGGGATTGTGACAGCGTGACAGCTTGGCGTCCTCCATACCCTTGTCCGTACCATTCCGTGCCAGTCTAACCCACGCAATTGTGAGCACAAAGGTGCATGCAGACACAGGCGCGCGCTCTCCCTTGGCAAGGGGCCCTCGTGGAATGGGCGGGGGACGGGAGGGGGAGGGGGAGGGGGCGCAAGTCGTCCAGAAGACCGCCTTTCCGGCCCCCGCTCGGACTGAGCGGGGCCGAGACACAGCAAAGCAGCAGCAACAACAGCGCTTCCCCTTCCATTCTCGCGCGCGGGGGGGGGGGCAGGAGTAGAAGGGCGGCAGCACAGGCAAAGCAACAGCAACAGCAGCACCTCCCCTTCCGTTTTCGCGCGCGGAGGGGCGGGCGGGAAAGACAAGGGAGGGAGGACAGGGGCGAAAGGGCAGACGGAGGGGGGAGGACGAGAGGACAGGGGCGGAAGGGCAGACGGAGAGGGAAGAACAAGGAGCGAGGGGGGAGAACAAGAAACGGGGAGAACAAGAAGCGAGGAGACCAAATCGCCGATACGATCTACTGGCCAAACGTATCGGCGCCCGCCCCTCGGTCTCGGGTGAGTGTGCGCAGCAACACTGCTCTGATACAATCTTGTGGCCGAAACGTATCGGCGTCCTTTCCCGGTGAGTGCGTACAAGAGGCCAGGTTTTTTGGGGGCCCGGGGACCGAAGACAGAAGACGAGGGATGACCAAGGAGGACAAAGAAGAAGGAGGGAGGACGGAAGATGGTGGACGTAGACTTTGGGAGGCATATTTCTCCAGAGCGCCGCCCAGCGATGTTCGGAGATCTCCCAGAGGCTGCCGTACTGGACATTGTTAGGCAGGCTGTCCGGCAAGGTCTGAGGCTTTGTATGGGCTTGCGCGAGACGAAGACTTCGAAAAGGGCGTTCCACAGGCACCTGCCGAGAGTGCACGGTTTCCCTCGGGGCCGTAGGCGACCCGAGGAGGAGGAGGAGGAGGAGGAGGTGGAGGAGGAGGAGGAGGTGGAGGAGGAGGAAGAGGAGGAGTGGAGAGGGGGGGAGGGGAGGAGGAGGAGGGAGAGGAGGAGGAGCAGGAGCGAGGAGAGGTGGAGGAGGAGACGTAGGAGGAGAAAGGAGGAGGAGGAGAGGAAGGAGGGAAGAGGGGAGGAGAAGGAGGAGGAGAAGGAGGAGGGGGAGGGGGACGGGAGGAGGAGGGAGGAGGAGGAGGAGGAGGAGGAGGGGAGGAGGAGGGAGGAGAGGAGGGAGGAGGGAGGAGGAGGAGGAGGAGCGGAGGGAGGAAGGGAGGAGGAGGGAGGAGGAGGAGAAGGAGGAGGAGGAGGAGGACCGGTGTAAACCCAAGAGTCATCAACGATGTTTGAGTAAACCCGCCCTCCAAGCTCCCTCTTCATAGGTCCCTACACCGGTTCATTTCCACTGAGGGAACTGCATCGTTCGAAGACAGTTGTTTGAAGACCCTGAAGCATGCCAAAACACTGTGCTCGGGATCTCATCGCCACGGATGAACCTGACTGTTGCGTCTTGACGATCTGAATCGTGCCAGAACGCCCTGCCTGGGACTTCAGCGCAGCGAATCAACGTAACTGTTGCGCACGCATAATCCTTAACCTTTCAAAATACAAATTCTGGTACGTTGATTATGGGAATACGTGAAGTGAAACTCTTGCAAATGTTGTGAGCGAGTGCACGCGGTGCTAAGGCGAGAGCCACACTTTGAAAAGGGACCGCCCTCAATCCGTGAAACTCTTGCAAATGTTGAATGCAAATGTGCGCGGTGCTAAGGCGAGAGTCACATTTTGGAAAAGACCCGCCCTCAGTCCGTGAAGCTTTTGCAAATTGGTAATATATGATTCTGTATAATTTATTTTTTTTAAAAAAAAAAAAAAAAAAAAAAAAAAAAAAAAAAAAAAAAAAAAAAAGAGAGAGAGAGAGAGTGCGTCGCGCTAAGGCGAGAGCCACTGTTTGAAAACCACCCGCCCTCCATATGTGAAGCTGCTGTCAATTGTTAAGCTTCAGAGTCATAAGAAACGCCCGGACCGCCCTAAAATCTGCCTCGGGGTGCGACAGGGAGAAGTGAGTTATAAGGAAAAGGAATCGAGGAGGAGGACGGGTCGCCTAGGCCCTTCGGAGAAGCCCTCCAGCCCAGAGGTGGCCGTGCCACGTCCCGTTTGGTTGGGCAGGGCCCTGGCTCTGGACGGACCGTGCTTGCTGGTTGCTAGCTTCCGATGTCATCTCCTTGGGAATGCACTTTCGGAGGTTGATAGATCTCTTACCCTGACACGTCGATTCGCGAATTGGCCGTTTTCGGTTCGCGCGAGGGCGTCGCGGCCGTCATTTTTGCGGGTCCAGGTCCGTCGGTTTCGGTCCTGGGCCGTTTTCACGAAACGGAGGTTCATTAAAGGGAGGGTTGTCCACCGCCGATACTTGATTGTTAGTTTGAGGGCGTACTTTATCAGGGGCCTTGGGTTGAAGCACTTGGGAGGCGCCCTCGCATGTCTGCACGAGGGCGGGCACCACGGAAGGAGGTGGAAGGGAGGGGGGAAGAGAGATGAGGGAGGAAAGGGAGAGGGAGCGGAGGAGAGCCTTGAAATGCATTGGCTCCGCGACAGACACACACACACTTTTTCGCAGCGCGGCAGAGGCAGTCAGCACGCGCGCTCAGGCGGTCCGGGCAACAGAAGGCGCTAATTACGATAAGGTCATGCGGCGATGGCGCGCTGGCGACGCTGGCAAAGGCATTCAAGGTCGAATTCTGCGACGCGGAAGCACCCGCCGACACGGTGACGCCATTAGACCAGATGGAATCCAATTTTGAACGATCGGAGCCGAGATTGGCTCGAGGTTGAACGATCGACGCGGTGTCAAAAACCTTTTGCGCGCGCCGACGCCGCGCGAGCCTGCCGTAGTCGGCGGCAGGAGGAGAGGGGGAGACAGCCGAAAGCGGCCGCGAGTGAGGAGGGAGGGGGGGGCACTCGCGTGGCGAGGTGCGTCGCCGTGGAGCGGCCAGGACGGCCAGCCAGTGCGGCACCCCTGGCCCACGCTTTTTGTTTAACCATCCAGCGAAGCCCAGCGACAGAGGAGGGCGCAGGAGGAGGAGGAGGGGGAGGGGGGGGGAGGAGGGCGACGCGGAGGAAAAGCAGCCCTCCCCGGGAGGAGGCGAGAATGAACTAGCACGTACACACACACACACACACCACAACGCGCAAGCAAGCAAGCAAGCAAGCAAGGCAAGGAAGCAAGTCCGCCTGCCCCTCGCGGGGCAGCGGCGAGGCAAGGCGGGGGCGGCGGAGGCCGCGGAGGGCCCCACGGGGGGCAGGGGCAGCAGGCGCCAGGAGCCGGGCAGGGGGCGGGCCCCCGGGGGCCGGCGCAGCGCCGCGCGCGTGGGGGAGGAGTCCTGACGGTCTGACGTGACCCGCGCAGGCAAGCCTTTCCGATGGGTTGACCTTCCGCACATGGACAATATATATTCGAACCCTTACACATTCGAGGGAGGTTCTAAATCACCCCCCGCGCCCCCGACATCAATGTTGATCTCGGTAAAGGCGGTGCTTTGGGGTTCGAATATTTCTGTCCACTCACGCCCCCCCCCCGTCGCCACGCCATCAATGTTCATTTCGGGGGGTCTGGGGGGGCATCTTGGGCCACAGGGTTCGAATATAATGTCCATGTACTGTTGCAGGTCTCGAAGGGTCAAGAACGGCAGAAGAATCAGCTCTTGGAGCTCCGCGCGGTTTCGGGGGGATCTCCGCTGGGCCCCCCTCCGGGCCCCGGCGCAGATCCACGAGACCCGCGCGGAGCTCCACAAGTTTACGTCAATGTTGTTTTTGTTCCTCCAGGTTCAGGGAAACGGGACAGCGTTCGCAAACTTCCGGTTCCACGACGAGGATGGAGCCATCGGTCGGGACCCCGTGGCGAGTCGAGCCCGCCGAGGCAGCGCTGGGTGCGGGAAAAGTGCGGAGGGACCCCCCCCGCAGGGCAGATCGCACCAGGAGTGGAAGGAGCGGTGCGGCCTGGGACATCAGGTTCCCCCTCGAGCGCGGAGCCCTCGGTCCCGAAGAGGGGAGTGCGCGCGCCGCCAGAGGCGCCAGGGGGGACCCGGGGCTGACGAGAAACCGAGTGCCCCCCGCAGGATGGGCGGATCCCAGGAAAACACGAGGCGATAGAGACTCGGCACCGACCAGCGCCAGATCCAAGGCTCGAGGCCAGGCCCCAGGCACCCGAGGCAGGGACGGCCGCGGTGGGGCGGGCGGTCGTCACGGGAGCCCGCTGCTCGTACGTCTTGTGCTGGCACCCCGCGGTGCCACCAGCCCCCAAGTGCCGGCACCCCGCGGTGCCAGCCCACCCGGTGCCACGGCACCCTTCGGTGCTCGGTGCTGGCACTCCCAGGTACCATGGTGGTGCTGGCCCCCCCCAGTGCCGACACCCCCCGGTGCCACGGCACACCTTTCTGCCACGGCACCCCCGGTGCCAGCACCCCGCGGTGCCATGGTACCACGGGTGCCAGCACCCTCCAGTGCATGGCACCCTTTGGTGCCGGCAGCCCCCAGTGCCACGGCACCCCCCGGTGCCAGCCCCCTTTGGTGCCAGCGCCCCCTTGTACGGGGGGGGGGGCCTATCTTGAGGGCTTCTTGGGGTCTTGGGCCTCTCGGGGGCCGCTTGGAGGCCTTTGGGCGCTTCTTGGGGGCCAGTGTGGCCATCTTGGGGTCGTCTTGGAGGCTATCTGGAGGCGGCCTTGGTGCCATCTCGGGGCCGTCCTGAGGGCTTCTGGAGTCATCTTGAGGACCCCCCCGGTACGGTATCGTCCAGTACGGTAGCGGTGGCCGGTACGGTATCGTCCGGTACGATAGCGGTGGCCAGTGCGGCATATCGTCCGAACGGTAGCGGTGGCCGGTATGGTATCGTCTGGTACGGTAGCCGCGGCCGGTTGGCGCGGTACGACACGAGCCAGGTTACCATTTTGGACGATAGCGGCCATCATGTTTAAAAAATCTATTTTACAGTGTTTGCTGGCCCTCTGGCTTGACACGAGGCGTCACGAACAAGAGAGGGATGGAGAGGAGGAGGAAGAGAACGATAATGATTACCAATAATTCCTAAAGGTTCTCAGCAATTCCTTGGAATTTGTAAGAAGCCCTTGGGATTTTCCGGAACTCCTCGGGATCCTTGAGGATTCCGTTCCTGAGAAGCCCTTCGTTGACAATCCTCAGGGTCTCTGTAGTTTCCTCAGGCTCGTTCGTTGCACTGCGGAGCAAGTCCAAAAGACCATGGGGAACTCCTGCGGGTTCCTCGGCATTCCCAAGGATTCCTTGGGGAGGGAGGGGGGCGAATGGGCTCGGCGTGCGGAGTCGCATGAGCTCCTGAACGTCCCTGCGAATTTTACCATGGTTTGCAAGGGTTCTCAGTATCGGGGAAACGTCTGACTCGACTACGCCGGAACTCGGGTTTGCCATTGCTTTTTGACCAGGGCCTCCTTGATTTTGACGATGCAGATCCCGTGGGATGTTTGGAGCGGGAGCTCGCGTCAAATTCATGGATTGTCAGGCCAGCCCGAGTCCACATAGCCCGAGTATTACGCCTTCACGATAGTAACTCCCACGAATTACGAAGAACTCTCCAGAATTACTAGGAATGCATCAGGACCCCTAAGGATGCCGTATAAGGGCCATTGGAATTCGCACGGATACCTTAGCATTCCGACAGATTCCTCGGGGTGTCCCCAACGTGCTCGGCGTACGGATTCGCATGAGTTTCTGGGCATTCCTGCGTAGGCGTTCCCCTCTTGCGTCCTTGAGACAACCTTCTACCAGAGCAGTCGGCGCGATCTTCTGCCGTTTCTGGAACACTGCCCAAACACCGCCCAGGCCTGCATCGGGTCTGCTTGTGGAGGGGGAGGTCGTTGGATGGCCAGGTAGTAGTAGTAGTTGGATGGGGGAGGAGGAGGAGGAGGAGGAGGAGGAGGAGGAGGAGAACAAAAAGGAGGAGGAGGAGGAGAAGGAGAAGGAGAAGGAGAAGGAGGAGAAGGAGGAGGAGGAAGAAGAAGAGTAGGAGGAGGAGGAGGAGGCGAGGGGAGGAGGAGGAGGAGGAGAGGAGGAGGAGGGGAGGAGGAGGAGGACGAGGAGGAGGAGGAGGAGGAGGAGGAGGAGGAGGAATGGTAGCTTGCACGCCCGCTCGCAGGAGAAGGCCGCGGCGGAGGCGCAGCAGCGCGCCTGCCCCGACGTCGACGCCGCGGAGGCGGCCCGGCTGGAGAGGATCGCGCGCAAGACGGCGGAGCGGCGCGCCGCGGAGGCCGGAGTGCAACACCCTGTGACGGAGTGTTCTCCCCCCAGTTTGGGGCCTCGGACCTTGTCCTTCCAGAGTGCCTTGGGACACTCTGAGAGCAGGAGGAGGGCGCCAGGAGCCCGAGGAGGGAAGCATGTTTCCTCCTCCTCCTCCTCCTCCTCCTCCTCCTCCTCCTCCTCCTCCTCACCTCCTCCTTCACCTTCACCTCCTCCTCCTCCTCCTCATCCTCCTCAGGGGACGTTCGCCCCTCCTCCTCTTCCTCCTCCTCCTCCTCCTCTTCTTCCTCCTCCTCCTCCTCCTTCTCCTCCTCCTCCTCCTCCTCGTGCTCGGTCCCTCTCCCCCCAGAGCGGTCGGCGGCGGGAAGCAGCATGGGCGGCGGCGGACCCCGGAGGAAGGCCCGTCGAGCCGACGGCGGCCATCCCTGACCTGTCTCGTCCGACAGCTGCCCTGATGTGAGCAACGAGAAAAAAGGGGGTCGTCTGCGCCGACACTGGCGCCGAAGCTGCCCGCGCAAGGACGCGCGCAAGCGCCCCCGTCTCCAATGTCGCGTGCCGCGCTGGCGGCCCGCGTAAGCCGCCGCGTAAGGTCGCCATGCCAATTCGCGCAAGACCCGTCCTTGATCGTCCCTCATACTTACGCAGAGAAAGGATCCACGAAACTCTCCCACACCCGAAAAGGGATCCAATTGGATCCGTTGGTGTTCCCATATTTTTGTTAGTCCAAGAGGAAAACACTTTCGGCCTGGGGATGTATGCGCCCGCTCTGAAGCGCAGCACGTGCCGTGGTCAAGGCGTCCCTGCCGGCACGCTGCCCGTGGCCTCGGCACGCGCTGGGCCGCGCTTCGACGAGCGCGTCGCGCCAGACGGGCGTCTTCACTCCGCGCGTGGAGCTCCGTGCCGGCACGCCGTGGGCTGCGAATTTGACCTCGCTCTTTTGGCATCGCTCGGACGTGTGCATCTTTTCTCGGCGAGGAGCGTGGAGGAGCATCCCCGATGCTTGAACGAAAAACGCACGCACGACATCGAAAAAAATACACGAGGAGCGGACGTCCGAGCGATGGCGAGCGCTGGGGGCTTCTCGTTGTTCTCGTCGCCACGGCCGGAGCGCGCACCCGGCGAGCGCGCACCCGGCGAGGTGCCGGGAGCGGCATCGGCGTCCTCTGCCCCCGCAGAGAGTCAGCAGCCCGCCCGCTCTGGCGCGGGGGGGGGTCGGCCTCCCGAGGAGGCCAGGGAGCTTCCAAGGGCCCAGGCACAGTCAAGCCGCATGGTGAGGATGGGCAACCTGCCCAAGGGCACCCCTGCATCGTTGCCCCTTCGGCCCATCCTCAGCGACTCTCGCTGGCCAACCTCGCGCGAGAAACGCTAGCACGGGCCTCCAAGGCCCTTGCACCCTCACCGCGCATACTTTTGATACGGGTTGACTGTATCTGACGATATGATTTGCGGCCGGGGCGTTCGTTTAGGAATGCGCCCAGGACGCTTCAGACCCTGGAGGCGTCCTTATCTGATCTTATCTGATGAGCGCGGCGGTGGTATCCATGGCCAAGCCTCTATTGAGCGACGGAGGAAAACGGGGTCGTCTGCGCCGACATTGGCGCGGAAGCTGCCCGCGTGAGGTCGCGCGTAAGCGCCCTGTTCTCCAATGTAGCGTGCCGCGCGGCCCGCGTAAGCCGCCGCGTTAGGTCGCTATGTCATTTCGCGTAAGACCCGTTTTTGATCGTCCCTCATTTGGTGTTCCACAGGCTTCCAGACCCTGGATTCCTTATCGAAGGGTTTCTTATCCACTGCCCACACTGGTGTCCTTCCTCGATTTCGGCCTCGGGGGCCCGCTGTTGGGGCCCAGGACCCCATCGAGCAATTCTTCGGGACGGAAGACTGCCCCCCCAGGGAAGGGGGGCGGGACCGTTGGGGTTGCCCATCAAATACAGCATCGTTGGATATCTGGGGAGAGGGATCTCCGGCCAGCACCGGCCATTCCTGCCGAAGAGATTTGTGCCGTGAGTGCCTTTCCCCTTTCGCCCTTGCTCCGCGGCCGCCTTCTGTGCTGTCTCTCTCTCTATCTCTCTTTCTCGCGCTGCCGGACAATTAGTGTGCTTCGCCCCAGCTACTAGAGCGCGCGAGCGGAGGAGGAGGAGGAGGAGGAGGAGGAGGAGGAGGAGGAGGAAGAGGAAGAAGAAGAAGAAGAAGAAGAGGAGGAGGAGGAGGAGGAGGAGGGGAAGGAGGAGGAGGAGGAGGAGGAGGAGGAGGAGGAGGAGGTGGAGGAGGAGGAGGAGGAGGAGCAGGAGCAGGAGCAGGAGCAGGAGCAGGAGGAGGAGGAGAAGGAGTGAGGAGGTGAGGACACGCGGCGTTGTGTATTCAAAACGATGACCCGACACAGGAGGGTTGGGAAACATGTGGAAGCCCACAGTGAAAGAGCCGCGGTGGACGCGTGATGGGACCGCAGAAATCGAACGATAAGGAGGCGGCGTTTACGGATATGTTGTTCTGAGAGGTTGCTGGCGGATTTTTAGGACCATATTGGGGCCCTCTTGGGGTACCCTTGGGGCCTCTGAGGGCATTCGTTGGCCTTCATGAAGCTGTTTTAGGGGTCTCGGGGCCTTGTTGGGGCTCTTCGGGGGGGCCCTCTTGTGACGGTCTTGGGCCGCATTGCCAGCAAAGAGGAAGTCGTGCGTTCGCCCCCCCCCCCACACCCTCGGAGGCCAAAATCCTTCAGAGATCGATGGAAATGAATAAATTGCCCTCTCTCTCTTGGGCAACCTCGGACGCTACCCCCCTTAGTTCACACCCAGGGGAGGAGGTAGGGGGAGGGGTCAAGACTCCCTCCCCGCCCGCAAGCCGTCTCGCTCACTCCCACCCGCCCTCCCAACACATACGTAGCACCCGAGCCTGGCCCGAGCCGCAGCATATTCAGCAGTCGTCTTTGGATGGGCAGCTACTGGGGGCGAATCCGCCGCCTGCGCCGCCGCCGCCCGCCCGCCGCCGCCGCCGCGCCGCCGCCGCCGCTGTCCGCCGCCGCCGCCGCCGCCGCCGCGCCGCCCGCCGCCGCCGTCCGCCGCCGCCGCCGCCGCGCCGCCCGCCGCCGCCGCCGCCGTCGCCCCCGCTGCCGAATCGCCGCCGCCGCAGCCGCTGCCGCCGCAGCCGCTGCTGCCACCGCAGCCGCCGCCGCCGCCAAGTGTATTCTGTTTTGTTTGTTGACAGGGATGGGGGGGGAGGCCGCATCGGGTTCGCTGCGCATGCTCCGAATTTGGAGGCAAAATGTGTTTTGCATTGTTTTTTACAAGGGGTGGTGGGGGGGGGCCCGCATTGTCCCTGGTTGGCTCCCAGTCGCCTGGGTGAGGGGGTGTATACTGATAGGGAACAGTGATGAAGACACCCTCCCCGCCCGCAAGCCGTGTCGCCCAGTCCCACCCGTCCTCCCAACACAGGTAGCACCCGAGTATCCGTAACAAAACCATGCAAAGTGGTCGCGGGGCGCCCGCGCATGCTCCAGATTTGGAGGCGAAGTGTTTGTCCTTGAGATTTGACAAGGGGGGTGGTCTGCGCGGAGCAAGCAAGATGAGGGCACCCCCGCTGTTTTTGTCAAAGGCGAATGCAAAGTGGTCGCGGCGCACCCGCGCATGCTTCTGATTTGGAGGCAACGTTTACGTTGCACTATTTGTTGACCGGGTTGTTTGGCCCGCGCGCAGCAAGCAATACGAGGGCACGCGGGGAGGGCTCCTTTTCTCCAGGGCTTCTGACCATTAGAGCTGTATGTTTAGGAATACACGTGAATCCAACTGCCTGCGGCAAGTCCACCACCGCGCCAACGAAGCACTCTGCTGGGCTGCCTCGAGGCCATCTTGGGCCGCTTCGGAGCCGTGTTGGAGGCATGCTGAGGCAGGTTCGCACCCTCGGTGGCGTGCCTTGGCCGTCTTGGAAGCCAGCATGGGCAACCTGGGAGCCTCGGAGAGCGCCAGCGGGGGCGTCGGGGCACCCAAGAGGCCTCGGGAGGGAGGGTGCTGCACGAGCGTGTGTGTGTGTGTGTGCGGAGAGGAGGGTGCCCCTCGGACGGCCCACAGACCCTACCATGCAGCGTTGGACATCCGACCGCGCCCCAAAGTGCCAGGGGGCCCGGTGGCGGATAGGATCCAGGTTGGAAGTTTTGGGGGTGAGTCCGAAGCGAAACGGAGTCGCCCCATCGGAAAAGCGATTGCGGTGTCGGTTCGTGCAGCGGGTGCGGGCGAGGCGAAGTTGTGCGAGTTTCTGCACCAGCCAGCCCCAGGTCACGTCAAAAGGAGTCGCGGACGTCCAGGGCATAGCTGGGGTTGTCCCGCGGTTGTCCCGTGGTTGTCCCGTAGTTATCTCGTAGTTGTTTTGTGGTTGTCCTGTTGTATTCCCGCGGTTGTCCCGTGGTTGTTCCGTGGTTGTCCCCTATATGTTCCACGGTTGTCCCGTGGTCGTTGCGAGGTTGCCCGGTCGTTGCCCGGAGTGTTGCTTCGTAGTTGTCCCATATTTGCCTTGTGGTTTTCCAGTGGTTGTCCCGTGGTTGCCACATGGTTTCCTTTGCGGTTGTCCCGTGGTTTTCCCGCGGTTCTGCCGTAGTTGACCCGTGCATGTCTTCTCTATGGGGAGATAAATAGTGAGACCGATCTATTGATAGTGGGATCGGGGTTTTGATAGTGAGATAGACAGTCGGATCGATGTCCCGTAGTTGTCCCATGGTTGTCACGTGGTTGTCCCGTGACTGTCCCGTGGTGATCTTGCGGTTGTCCGATGGTGACCCCGTGGTTGTCAAAAGATTGTTCCGTGGTTGTCTTTTGGTTGTCCCGTCGTTGCGATTTATAGTGGCATCGACAGGTAAATGGAGGCCGATATTAATAGAAGTGTTCAGGTGGATGATAGATAAGGAGAACGATATATTGGTAGTTCGGAGGATTAAAACCGCAAGTCCGATCCGACGCCAATCGCTCACCGAATGTTGTCCACATCACCACCCACCCCCCACCCACCCACCCACCCAAAAAATAAGCTTCCTTATCACCTAAAGGGTGGTCCTGCAGGTATGTTATGTTGGCGCATGGATGGCGCAGGTGTCAATGTGAAAGCCTTGCACGCTTAGTAAGCGTGTAGTGTCAACGAATGTACATGCATGTGTGATTGTGCATCTGTCTGCGTGGGTACCCACGTGTGCCAGTATCCATGTTTGTACGCACGCACTCTCCAGCGGTCCTCGGCCCATCCCACCACCATGCATAAGTGGTGGGTCAAGGCGCAGTGTGAACGAGTGAAGGCCACAGCGTATTTGAGAGATCCGTGGAAGGTTCCTGGGCCCACAGGAATACCCCGATTGCGCGGGGCCTCTCACCCTCACATTGCAGGCCGTGGTGGTTGTGGTTGTGGTGGTGTGGTGGTTTGTGGTGGTGGTGGTTGTGCTGGTGGTTGTGGTGGGTTGTGGTGGTTTGTGGTGGTGGTGGCGTTTTTGGTGGTGGTGGTGTAGTGGTTTGCGGTAATGGTGGTGGTTGTGGTGGTGGTGGGTTGTGGTGGTGGTGGTGGTGGTGGTGGTGGTGGTGGTGGTGGTGGTGGTGTGGTGGTTTGTGGTGGTGGTGGTGGTGGTGGTGGTGGTGGTGTGGTCTTCGGGTCTTCCCGCCACCGTTTTTTGGCTTTGGGTCAAAGTTCTGATGGATGCCTCTCGAGGTCTCGTCAGAGCGTTTGTGAAGCCTCCTGGACCTTCCTAAGGGCCTCTGGGTGGCTTTTGGGGGTCGACGGCTCGATATGGCGCTCTCTGTTTCCCCTCTGCGGCCTCTTGGCCCTCTCTGGTCATCGTTGCTGCGTCCCCGCTGTCGGCGCTGCTGGCCGCTGGCCGCCGCCAGCGCCGGCGCTGGCGCCAGCGCCGGGGGGAGGGGGTTTGGACCCCCCCCCCCACCCCTTCCCTCCCTGAACCCTCTCTGGTCATCGTTGCTGCGTCCCCGCCGTCGACGCTGCTGGCCGCCGCCAGCGCCGGAGCCGGCGCCGGGGAGGGGGGGGAGATTTGGGAGGGGGGGGTAGGGGGGAGGGGAGTCCCCCCTGGTTCTGATCGACGGCGCCGAGTGTTGGGGGGGGGGGGCCTCCCCGGATTCGAAACGCGCCGCCGAATGTTCCCAGGGCAAGCGCCCGTGAAACGCGCTCTCCTCTCGGAGACGGGGAGCCCGCCCCGGGAGGCCGAGGAGAGGGCCCGCTTGGCGCGGCTGGCGCAGAGAGCCGAGGAGCGGCGCCAGGCCAGCGGGTGTCCCCTCCTTTCCCCCCCCCTTTTTCGGCGGCGAGCCTTGGGGGGAAGTGATGAAAAAGGCAGCGATCGGGTTGGGAGGATAGTGCCCCGAATCATCAGAGCTGGTGCGGTCAGGGATGGCAGCAGATTCGCGCCCGGGTGGCCAAAACCGAGGCTGCCCCAGACTGCAGTTATCCGGGATAACTCGGGCGTCCAACCCTCCCGAATCATCAGGGCTGGGGGCAGTCAGGGGTAATTACAGATTCGCGCCTCGGGGGCCCAAACCGGAGTTACCCCAGACAACAGCCCAGATAATTCGGGCGTCCAAGATGAGGCTGGGAGAAGTGGAAGCCCGGCCGCCTTCTGAGAAGACCTTCTCCCTCCCACTTTCCCCCAGGGAGTGCCGCTGACCCTTGCCTTCCGCATCCTTCCAGCTAGTGGACAAATGCTTGCATTTTTTTGTAGTTTTTGTGAACAGCCCACGCGCCCCCACGTCAGTATTGGCGGGCTGCGCCGCGATGTGTCGATCTGTCGACTGGCCGAAATCCTACACACGTTGGCGATACCAACCAGCATTGAATCGGGGGCAGGAGGGCGCGTTGAAGCTTGCGTCCGCACCGCAGTCGCGCGGGTGGTGCAGGATTTGTCCTTCGACCGTGCATATGTCCTTCCTCATTTCTTTCTTTCCTTCCATCAATCCTCTCCCTTCTCCTTCCCTCCCTCGTCCTTCCACACGGCTTGTTCTAGAGAGGCCCTCGCCTTAGAAGACCGACGGATTTTACATCTCCTCCCTGGCGGCGGCGGAAGTAAGACGAGGTCGACCAGCGGGAGGTCTGCGGAAGTATGCCCGCCCGAGAGATGGCAACGGCAACACTTGTTGTGTTCAGGGTTTCTGGAGCACTCCACACTTCCTCCTTTCCGTCTTGCAGGCATCATCAGGACCATCGTGGCGCAGAGCACTCAGCTTCCTCATGTTTGCTGCGCGCCACCGTCATACTCCATCGCTGACCCCGGTAGTATTCATGCTCGTTTTGAGTATTCTGTGCGTGTGCGCAACAGTGTATGTGTACGATTGTGTGCTGTGTGTCTGTTGTTGCATATTGCTGTAATGGTTGGTGTTTGAATTGATCTTGTGATTGTAGTATCGGCTCTGCGCACTCATCCTTGCGTTGGTGCGTGTGTGTGTGTGTGTCCGCGTGCGTTAGTGCATGCACGCGAGCATGCTTGTTCGCGCGTGTGGGCGTGAGTCAGTTGGTAGAGTAAGTTGTCAGCGGTGTATAAGCGTGCGTTTGTGTATTGTTGTATGTGCACATCTGGTTGCGTGTGTGTGTGTGTGTGCGCGTGTGTTCGCGTCGGTGCGGGACTATATGTTTGAAGCGAGTTTCTGGACCCGCGCCAGAGACCAGCTTCCCTACCTCGCTTCGCCAGATGATCAGTTGGCGATATTTCCTGGGATTTGCGCTAAGCCTTCTTGGTTCGATGTTTGGTTTTGGCTTCAAGGCGTGCGAGCGGCGCGGCCCGTAAGGGCGCGGTGCGGAACGACATCTTAGACAATGTTGGTCTGTCAATTTGCTCGCGCTTTTTCGGAAGGTATTTTCTTGTGCAGCCAGCGCCCGCACCGGGAAAGTATTGTCGCAGAGACCAGAAGCCAGACCACATTGTGAACAGGCCACACGTTTGCTGGGCCTTGATTAGTTCACCGCTCGGCGTCCACGAGTAGTCATCATTTGTCATCACGGCTTGCTCCCCACACGCTGCAGGCGTGGATGGCCACATCGTGCACCACGTGCACGGTTTTCTCCTTCCTGCTGCCCACATCATGCTGTCTGGGTCTCGTGCTGGTAGGGCCTTTTCTCTCGCGTTGGACTTGAAGCAGCTCGTTGTTCTGAGGCATCGGCTTTTGATGAGGGTGCCCCTGCTGTTGTCACTGTTTCTTGGCATTGCACACTTCCGCAACGGCTCTTCTCCTAGCATGTGACCCTCAGTATTGTTCCATCCAGTCGGACTCTCTGCTGAGGTACATGCGTCAGCCCTGAAAGTGTGGGTGTGCGTGGTCGATCGCGTTTTTGTGATCGTGTCTCTGCATGCGTGTACGCGCGTTGTTTTGCTGTCGTTCTGCAAACGTCTGACGCCTGAGTAAAACACTCCGCGCTTCGCTCACCCTGCCCCTCGAATTTCAGTACGTCGCCTGACTGGGTCGCATGCTCGCAAAGGGCCCGCCAAAGCAAGAGGTGCGCGTGTGCTCGTCCGTCCGCGTGGGCCGGTGAGGAGACAAGAGAGTGGAATCCCCTCGTCGTCGATGCCATGTTCGTCCCCCCGTTCCCCCCGACTCGAAATTCGGTGTCCTCTCAAGCCTGCGCTCTTGAATGTCTGGGAAGAACTGTGAAATGTGGGGGGGAGGGGAGGGGGCAGAGTCAAGGGTTCCACTCTCTTGTCCACCTGCGGGCCCGCGCCCTTTTCGTGCGTCCGTGTGCTCGCGCGAGCGCGCGTTCGGGGTGAGCCCTGCGCGCCCCCGCCTTGGCCGCTGGAGCGCCCCAACCCGCGGCCGCTGCACCGCGGAGCGAGGCCGGGGCGCCCGTGTAAGACCCTGCAGTCGCTCGCGGCGGCGGTGACGAACCATAGCATGACTGCGGGGGGAGCACGAAGGTCAGGGGCAACGAGAGGGGGGGATAGGCATAAGGGGGGGATGCATCGACACGCAATGAGGAAAACAAAAAGTGGCATAAACATAAAAGCTCGGAGGTCCGCGCGGACTTCTCGGATCCGCGCTGGGGCCCCCCTGGCCTGCTCCGCGCGCCAGGGAGGGGGGTCCAGCGCCGATCCGAGAATTCCGCGCGGACCTCCGAGTTTTTGTGTTTATGTCACTTTCTGTCCCCCTAGATAGGCATAGGGGGGGATGCATCGACACGCAATCGCCCATTGATGGCCGACAGGGGCCCGATGGCCCCACCGTGCCCGGGAAGGTGCGGATTCACCATCGGGGGCCCATCGCCGATCTGTCGACGAGGTATCGCCGATTCCAGGTCGATGCATCCCCCCCTATGTCTATCCCCCCCCATCGGTGCCCCTCAACTAACAATGACATGATTGCAGGGGGAACACGAAGAGAAGGGGGAAGATCGGGCGGTGCTGGGACGGGGATCAATCCGTTCCAGAGCGTTCCGGACGTCCCTCAGAGCGTTCCAGGACGCTCTGAGAGACCTCCATGCGCCAAGAGCGGCCCTTGCCCTGGGGACCTCTCCTTTGGTATCTGGCGCATCGTGGATTAGCGCAAAGTCCATTGACAACGACGGCACAGTCGGCAAGAATCTAAGCGCGCGCGTCGCTCGCGCGTGGTTCGTCGAGCTTGTGTATCTTTGTTTGTGTGTCTTCCTGACCCCCTTCAGAAAAGTGCGCGCGCGGTCGGCACCATCCTCTCCTGAGAGACCTGCGGGCCAGGCGAAGGGTTCGGATGCGCCGCCCGGGACCGCGGCGCCGTCCCCCGAGGCGGTGGCCAGCGCCCCAACAGGCGCCAAGCGCCCCTTTTCCGCGGCGCTCTGCTGGGCGGGGCGGGGGGCGTTGCCCAACTATTCTAGTGGCCTTGGGCCGGTCCGCCACTGCCGCTTGGACAGTCTTGGGGGCCTTCTGGAGCCCCCTTGGCCCGTCTTGGGGCCCTTCGCCCTTCTGATTCCGAACAGAAGTCTAGCGACAAGCCGCGCCAAGCCCCAGGAGGCTTGGCAATTTGGGCTCCGGGCCCCTGTAACATGTTTCAGGAGTGAGGAGTGAGGCTCAGAGGATTGGGCAAGAGACTTGAGGACACGCCCATCCCGTGCCCAACGGCAAGGTGGCGGATTTTCTTCAAAGCTTAAGGGTCGGCGGATTTTCCCCGGAACGCGCCGGTGAAATGGCTCAATGTCAGAAATTATTTGTTTGAGATGGTCCGGTTATCAAGATATTTCCCAATGCGTGTTATCACATGCATTGGCGCACTTCGCGCATATGGCACACCGGGAGCGTTTGGCGGCTTGCGCATCTTGTGCGCATGGCTTGCCAGGCGTGCGTGGCACACTTGGCGCACATGGTGCCGGACAGCGGATATCCGCCTGATGAGGACAGATGTTTCTCTCGAGTCTCGGGCGATAGCTCTGTGTTGGGAGGGCGGGCGGGAATGAGCCCGACAGCTTGTCGGCGTTGCAGCCAGCAGCACGGTGGGGTGCAGCACGACTCTGACATCCTCGGCTGGGGCGTGCAGTGTTGCGAGCTGCGCGGCCGTGAGCCGCTCGGCTGTCGGGAGCTGCTGTCCCCCCTCGGTTCCTCTTCTTCGTTCGCCTCCCCCTCCTTCGGCAGGGGTGCGCCGTGCCCTCGAGTCCTGATCGTTTTTGTTCCTCTATCGGGGGCAGTGGACGCTTCCTCCCGTGGAGGGTGGGACGCCCTGGGTCAGCGTGACCGCCGGGGACCTGCTGCTCCTCCCGTCCCTCCCACCTCGTCGGGGTGGCCGTGGGGGGGTGGGGAGGGGGGCCGCTGCGGCCAGCGTGCTGAGTGCGCCAGCCAGCTGCAGGTTGCTCGGTCATCGAGCGGCCCCGCGAAGTTCTCAGTAGATTGGCACTGTCGTCCAAGGCGAGCTGGCACGGCAGAGCAGGGTTCCATGAGCTGTTCGGCCACGCGCAGAGGTGGGTAGGGGAGGGGGGAAAGATTCCTCAGGGGCACCCCTGCTTCTCAGGAGGCTCGGACCTTGCCTGTAGATGCAAGGCCCGCGCCTTCTCAGAAAGAGCAGCCTCCTCCTAAGAAGCCCTTCCCCCCTCGCCCTGCCACCTTGTGCGCGCAGCCAATGTATAGCATCGCCCCCTACCCCTCCCCCTCGTTCCGCACTCCGCCCTCCGCCCTGCAAGCCCCAAGGCGCTCCGGGCGAGGGCGCCCGCTGCCCAGCTGCGGCGCCGCAGCCCGCCGCCGCCCCCGCGGCCCCAGAGCCGAAGGACCGTGCGGCAGCCTTCGGCCGTCCCCGTCCCATTCCCCGCGGTGTCTTTCCTTCTCCGGGGTGGTCACTTCCTTTCTTCGGCGGCGAGCCCCGGAGAGGCGGTCGAGGAGGAGGAGGAGGAAGAGGAGGAGGAGGAGGAGGAGGTTGAGGAGGAGGAGGAGGAGGAAGAGGAGGAGGAGGAGGAGGTCGAGGAAGAGGAGGGGGAGGAGGAGGAGGACGACGACGACGACGAGGAGGCTCTTCCTCTTCGGCGGCGAGCCTCGAAGAGCCCCGAAGGGCGGACCTTGTCCTAACTTCCCCCCCGCGCTCGCCGCCGACGGTTTGTTCCCTTCCTGTCTTTCCCTGCCCCTTGGCATCGCTCGGACGTGTGCATTTTTCCTTCGGCGAGGACCATCGAGGAGCATCCTTGATCATTTAGCGAAAAACCCACGCACGAAGCCGAAAAAAGCACATGGAATGGTCGTCCGAGCGATGTCCAGGCCCTTCCTCTCCCTTCCTGCCTGAGCTCACTCTCCCGGCCCGTTGCTGTTCCCTGGAGGCATCACCTCCGCGCTCAACCACGGCCGTGTGTCGGCAAGCCCACCGTTCAATCCGTTGGTATTTGGCTTGTTGGATAGGAGCGGCTCGGCAAGGCCGGAAGTATCCGACGGAATTTGCAGTGCAGCATAATGAGCACGCACCAGAGTTGAATGTTGACCCAGGGTTGGATTCAGACGATACCCAGAACCGAAGGGTATGCCAGAACCCCGTTTTGCGGCCGAGTCGGAACGACGTTGGGCGGCGGTGATGTCAGCGATCCGTACCGTTTCTATACGATATCTCGAGCACTAGACATCGAGCGTAGCACGGCCGCACGAGACGCGCATTTTTATCGAATGGCATTGGGTCCATCCCGCCGCCATGCCTGGGCTGTGTGTTGCAACTCTCAGGGATGCTTCTTCGGGTCTCTTCAGATCGCTCTCGGGGGCCTCTTGGGGGCAGTTTGGGGGCCTCTTGGGAGCCTCTTGGGGCCTCGTGGGGTCCTCTTGGGGCCTCCTCTTGGGGAACTCTTGGGGCTTCTGAGGGCCTCTTGGGTGCCTCTTTGGGCCTCCTGGGGACGCTTCGGGGCCGAGGGCTCGAAAGGTGCGTTCGAAACCCCATCTGGGCCCCCTCTTGGAGCCGTCTTTGGGGCCTCTTGGGCTGTCCTGGGCGCCTCTGGGGCCGTCTTGGGGCCGTCCTGGGGCCGTCTTGGGAGCCTCTTCGGCCGTCTTGGGGCGAACTTGTGGGCCTCTTGGGCCGTGTGGGAGCGTCGGATAGCTGAATAGGCGAGAAGACCAAAAACTTTCAAGAACCTTAGGAAAATCAGTGATTTGGGCCTCTCGGGACGCTCTTGGTTCCGATGCCCAGGGGGCACACGGCAAGCACAAGGAGATCCGTGAATTCGGGGCCCGGGCCCCTGACGAACCCTTAGAATCGAATTCTGGGGCTCACGGGATTGGGCAAAGGACCTGAGGACACGCCCGCTCCGTGCCCAGCGGCCCGGTGACGGATATCCGACAGGTTCAGTCATACTTATTGCGCATACATGAAAAATAAGATAAACAAGTACACCACCACGACCCGGGGCCCTGCCCACCTCGATGTACTGCACGAGTGAGGAAGTATTTAGAAAAAGAAGCAGCACGGTGAAGCCGACGCAAGTTCCGTGCGATTCCGGACGGTCGAGCCAACAATCAGGTGACATGAAATTCTCGTTTCGCGACAAGAACAGTCTACGGAAAATCGAATCCGATGTACATCATGGTTTTCCGATGTTGTCGCCGCTCTGCGGCCGCAGGCACTCCAGAAGTTGGTGCAAGATACGCCCGCCAAGCGCTTCTTGATTAGAGCAGACGTGTATGATCATGTGTTGCCTTCCTGTTGTTCACACTAGCGAATGAATTTCAAGTGCCCAGCTGAAGTTCCGCAATCCACGTCGAGGCAAGCCGTGCAACAGCCGTCGAAGATTGAATGGACTACCCAGACGCGCTTTCACATTCAGACATGTACAAACATTCTCGCCTGGCAAAGGGCCCATTGTTACAAAGTTGCGCGTGATTCTGGGATGAACCTCTCATCCGGATATTGTACGATGTTGCAGAAGTTATTCGCACGCATGTGCAGGTATGTTAAATTCAGATTAAGTTTGTGTTGCGTTCCCTTGAATATCATGACCCTCCACATATTTGCTGCGGTTGTTGGTTTTTGTTCCGCACACTCGCAGAACGAAAGCCACACTGATAGCTTTTAAAGATTAGAGAACGAAGAGGAAGGGAGGAAGACGAGCCACAAAGAAGTATTGTGTACTAAACTTCCGCAGCGTGCCAAAACAGCACGGCTGGCCGGACGCCAAAGCACAAGAAGCGTTCAAATTCTAGACGCTTCGCGGATCCCCACCAGTTTGGGTTGCAGCTTGCACGTTTGTCTCAGGTGACTGACCTTTCAGACTCCCTGGGATTGCACGACGCTGGCCCCTCAGACACCCTGGGTTGCCGCTCCCTGCCGCCTGAGCCGCGGCTTCGCGCGCGCTCGGGAATTTAGCCACGGCCGCGGCTCGACCGTGACTGCTCGCCGCTGTGCGCTTCCGCCTGCGGCCGTAAAAAAAAGGATCCCCACCAGCCCATACAGAAAGGACGTCCAGGCGAGTTGAGAGGTGATCAGGGAAATACGGGAGCAAAGAGGGGGACGGCCGAGCCGTGTGAAGAAGAGAGAGGGCGAAGGAGAAAATTTGATGGGTGGATGAGGGAGTAGGGAGAAGGAGGATGAATAGGATGAGGAGGAAGAGGAGGAGGCGGAGGGGGAGGAGGAGGATGAGAAGGGATAGGAGGAGGAAGGAGGACGAGGAGAGCAAGCAAAAGGGCCAGAGGTCTCTTGGATGCTTCTCGGAGTTTCTTGGGGTATCTCTTTGGCGTCTTGGGACGTTTTGCGGGTCTCTTGGCGGTCGTGCGGGTTTTTTATGCGTTTTGGGCGTCTCGGGGGGGCCTCTTGGGGCCGCTTGGGATCCTTTGGGGGGCCTCCTGGGGGCCTCCCTCTTGGGGGCCTTTTGGGGCCATCTTGGGACCTTTGGGGGCCTCCTGGGCGCTTTTTGGAGCCATCTTGGAGGAGATCGATCAAACAAGATTAGCGTCACCCCCCCAAGAGGCCAAAATGGGGCCAAAATGGGGCCAAAATCATGGTAAAACCATTGATTGTGGCTTCCTCGCCGAGGCCGTTTTGGACGCTCCGACACCTCGCGGAATTTTTCTTGTCCAGGTCCAAGGGAGGGAGTAGGGGGAGGGGTCAAGATTCTTGTCCCGCCCGCAAGCCGTTTCGCTCACTCCCACCCGCCCACCCAACACATACGTAGCACCCGAGCTTGGCCCGAGCCGCAGCATATTCAACAAACGTTTTTGGATGGGCAGCTACTGGAGCGAATCCGCCGCCGCCGCCGCTTCCGCCGCCGCCGCCGCCCGCCGCCGCCACCGCCGCGCCGCCGCCGCTGTCCGCCGCCGCCGCGCCGCCCGCCGCCGCCGTCCGCCGCCGCCGCCGCCGGCGCCCCGCTGCCGAATCGCCGCGGCCGCAGCCGCTGCCGCCACCGCTGTCGCCGCCGCCGCCACCGCCGCCGCCGCCCCCGCCGCCGCCGCCGCCACCGCCGCCGCCACCGCCGCAGCCGCCGCAGCCGCTGCCCCCGCCGCGGCCGCCGCAGCCGCCGCCGCCAAGTGTACGTTGTAGTGTTTTTGACACGGATGGCGGGGGGGGACCGCATCGGGTTCGCTGCGCATGCTCCGAATTTGGAGGCAGAGTGTGTATTTGTATTGTTTTGTACACGGCATGGTGGGGGGTGCCCGCATTGACCTTGGTTGGTTCCCAGTCGTTTGGGGGAGGGAGTGCATACTAATAGGGAACAGTGATACACCCCTCCCCGAAGGGTAAGAAGGAAGGGTGGTAGAAGAAAATCCTTAAAACACCGACGCCCAGAGGGCTGGTGGGATTGTGGCAGACCACCAGAGCAGAAAAAGCGGGAGAGAGGGAGAGGAGAGAGAGAGAGAGAGAGAGAGACGGGGGGTTGAAGGAAGGGAGCAGTAGAGCAGAACAAGCAGGGAGGAGCGAGGAAGAGCGGAAGGTTGGCGGAAGAGCAGGGAGCGGAGAGGGTGGAGGAGCCGAGACAAGGAGAACGATGGCGGACGACAGCGACGACAGCAGCACGCAAGAAAAGGAGAATGGGGGAAGGAAGGGGAGAGCGAGGGGGGAAGGGATGGGATAGAGGGAGGAAGGGACGAGAAGGAGACGGAGACTACCTTTACCATCACTAGGACTACGACCACCACTACTACTTGTACTACGACGACGACGACGACGACGACGACGACGACTACTACTACTACTACTACTACTACTACCACCACTATTACTACTACGACTACCTACTACTACTACTACTACTACTACTACTACTACTACTACTACTACTACTACTACTACTACTACTACTACTACTACTACTACTACTACTACTACTACTACTACTACTACTACTACTACTACTACTACTACTACTACTACTACTACTACTACTACTACGACTACTACTACGACTACTACTACTACGACTACTACTACTACTACTACTACTACTACTACTACTACTACTACTACTACTACTACTACTACTACTACTACTACTACTACTACTACTATTACTACTACTGCTACTACTACTATTACTACTACTACTACTACTACTACTACTACTACTACTACTACGCTACTACTACTACTAACTACAACTATACTAACTACAAACTACTATACTACGACTACTACTACTACACTACAACTACACTATTAGTACTACTACTTACTACTGTACTACACTACTATCTACTACTACTACTACTACTACTACTACGATTACTACTTACTACTACTACTACTACTACTACTACTACTACTACTACTACTACTACGAATAATAATAATACGACTACTGCTAGTACGACT